CCTTAGCTTCTCAAGAAGGGCTTATCTCTCATCAGTGTGATGACTGCCTCACTCGTCTATACTTTTGAAGACTGCAAAACCTGTGGTTGCCCCTCCCCAACTGCTTTTAAGCTTTGTTTCTTCCATTAGCCTCAGATGCCTAATATGTTTCATTTTCTAACTGGGGCACTCTGTTTTCTGTCTCTATTGCGAAACAAAGAGATAATGACATTGACCAGGTAAAGTTCTCTGATTAGATTGATTACAAATTGGTTTGAAAACTGGGGAAAATGCCAAGGGGGCAACCAGAGGGAATAGATGCTCTTTGCCTTCCTGCTAGGGATTGGTGGATAAGAAAGGTTTGCATATTTTAATAAAATCAGTCAATCAGTTCTGCCAGAATGAAGGCAGCGTGGTTCGACTCCAAGGAGATTTGCAAACAGAAAAATGGATTTTTCCCCCAAATGCTTCCTCCTCCTCCCACTGTTGTGAAATCTGTCCCTTGTTTGGAACCCAGCTTTTTGTCACATGTTCCTGAATAGCAGAATTCTCAAGATGTGTGGGAATACAACTCCCATCATTCTCAGCCCACAGGACATCCCAATAGGCATTATAGTCTCACATGCTGAAGAATACTGCTGTGAGGGATACAGATTTAGTGCTGGAAGAGGCAGGAAAAAGGAGAACTCAGGTGTCCATAAGGAGCTGCTGAGTCTGACAGAGGGTCATATGTGTCCAGCTAAGGTCCAGCACCATGGGTTGTGGAATGCTGGATGATGCAAATTGATGTGCATTGTGTGAAAACAGCTCTTCTGACCTACCAGGGGTTAACAGCCTTTTGTGGTTTGTATTCTATAGTGTGATGTAAGAGGCAGGATGGAAACTCCAGAGAGCAGAACGTGGAATTGTGGATTACAGGAAGGCAGATCCTGATGAGACGTTTGGAAAACGGCATTCTAAGTGTAACCACAGTTTGAGGGTAGAACAGCAAATGAGGACACCAACACTGCAGTGCAAATTCTGCCTCTTTGGTACACGTGTGCTGACACTGCATGCACATATGTATGGCACAGAGTTCATGCTGCAATTTCATGATGCCCATTTCATTGCTCTGACAAAACCTTGAGTTTTAATGGACATCTTTGTGTGGGCTGCCCTTTACTGAACATGCTCAAGCAGAGGCTAGAGAGCCATCAGTCTGGGATGCTATAATTTGAATTCCTGCATTGACCAGTGGGGGTGGACTGGATGACCTCCGTGATCCCTCATTTACTAGGATTCTATGATTTGATGATCCCAGTGCATCCAATGGGATCCAATCCTATGGGCCATAGGCTCTCCTTTTAAGTTGCTCCTACCAGTAAGATGTTTCTTCTCGCAGTCAGTCAGAATCTGCCTTCCTGTAACTTAAATCCACTATTCCATATCTTGCACTCTAGAACAAGAGAAGCAGTCTTGGCCTTCTTCTATGGAACATCCTTTTAGACATTTGAAAAGTGGTATCATATATGCCAGTGTTTCTCAACCTTGGCAACTTGAAGATATGACCTTCAACTCCCAGAACTGGGGAATTCAGAAGCTGGGGAATTCTGGGAGCTGAAGTTCACATATCTTCAAGTTGCCAAAGTTGAGAAACACTGATATATATCAATTGCCTTGCAGCTGGTCCTGTTCCCAAGGCTTTAAAAAGGCTTCATCTTCCCCAACCAGTTTACCTTACAAGATCTTGTGTGAGGATTCCCAACATTTGCAGCCCATGTCTTTGGAGGACACCCAACTTGGAAGTTGTTCTAACACAATTGTAAATTCAGGACTATCAATATGTGGGATGGCTTAGCAATCCATGAAGCCAAACTAGGACTTTTCCCTTTTATCTCTGCAACAAGTCTTTCTGTGATATGTTCACCATTCCTACCAAGTCCCCTTCTTCTGATTTCATCAGTACATTCTGAGTTAGGCACCTTCTTTTGAATTAGCACACAGCCAACTCCAGACAAAGCAGCTTGGAAGCAGCAAAACAGAATTTGGAAATGTATTTGTGCAGCCAGTAGAGTGATAGAGAAAATACCTCCATGTGAACTGGTTTAAGATTCTGCGAATTTGAATTCCAAGAACCTGAGAAGTTGGGGAAGATTGACCAGAAATCTGGAATTGGGGCATTAAGTATATTAGCTATCAACACCAAAAGTTCTCATGTTTTGAATTTCTTTGTGACTGACAGGACCCCAGGAGGAACCGTTTGTTCCAGTGGAACAATGTTGACCTTAATGTGGGCCTCACTCAGCTGTCTTTCCCTCTGTCTTCTGAGCCTGCCTTAGGCACCTACAAATTGGTGGTAGAAAAATCCTCTGGGAGCACCATTGAGCACAAGTTTGATGTGGAAGAATATGGTAAGAAGGTCCAAGCCTACTTGTGCTGAGTTAATGAACCCTGAGTAGAACTGGGTGTTAGTGCATTCTTGCAGTGATTGTGTTCCTGTCAATCCCTCTATGAATACTCTCATGTATGAAATAGAAGTGGTATCTATGGACCTTCCACAGCATTCTTGGAATGGACTTGGTGCCAAAAGAGGGACTTCTATTTCAGGTTCTTTTTGTGTTAAACAAGACCTGCTGGATTTCCAAGTTTTGCTTTAGCGCAATGTTTCTCAATCTCAGCAACTTTAAGGTGTGTGGACTGTAGCTCCCAGAATTCTCCAGCCAGTACTTTAAGATATATGGACTCAACTCCCAGAGTTCCTTAGCCAGCACTTTAAGATGTGTGGAGTATGGAATTCTGGAAGTTGCAGTCCACACATCTTATACAGTTTCACACGTGCTGAAACTGAGAAACACTGCCTTAGCATCTGTATCTCCATTTTGTCTCTAGGGAGAGAACCCAAAGCTAGGCTTGGGACCAGCCAGGGCAGAGAAGACTCAACAACTTGCTTTGTAGGATGTACCCTTAATTCAGATACCGGCTTGTCTTTTAGAGACGCTCAGCTAGGATTCAACAACATTTTAATATGATAGGATAGCAAAGCAGGGTTTAACAAATAGTGGCATGGTTTGAAGAGCATATGAAGTTGTTCTCGTTTACAGCTGATACTTTCCTCCTCTTTCTAGTGTTACCCAAATTTGAAGTTTTGGTGACAGCACCGAAGCAGATCTCAATTGTAGCCACAGAATTTGAAGTGACCATTTGTGGGAGGTGAGATCTAGCCAGGTTTCTCTTCTTTATTTTGGGGTTAAAAATAAGAATGGAGGGCTTAACTTTTCCATGGATCTCTGTCTCATCGCAGGCACCTTCCTGTGGGGTGGAGGGTGTCAAAATTCAAGATGATGGCTATAACCACATGATCACTTTTTAGAAACCGCCCCCTTCTCACATGTTGGAAGATTATTTCCAATTACATTTGCCCCCAGCACACTCCTAGTCACTCCCTATATTCAGATCAGAACAAGCACACTTGCAATTCTACACAGCTAGCAAAAATATAGAGTAATCAGCAAACATCAGAAAGAGTTAATATGCAAAATCTGGATAAAATCCAAGCAAAAATAGGGAGAAACATGAACAACAGATAAGAATTAAAATTATCTACATATCTCCAGCTGTATAGGTAGTCCTTGCTTAACGACCATTCATTTAGCAACTGTTCAAAGTTATGACAGCAGTAACTTTACAATTGTCACAGCGCCTCCGTGGTTACATGATCATGATCCAGGGGCTTGGCAACCAGCTTGCACTTACGATGGTTGCAATGTCGCGGAGTCACATGATCGCCATTTGTGACCTTCCCAGCTGGCTTCCAGCAAGTAAAATCAATGGAGAACTGTGTGATTCACTTAATGACCATGTGATTCACTTAATGGCTGCTGCAAAAAAAGGTTGTAAAATTGGGTCCAGTCATGTGATAGATTTGCTTAACGACTGCATTGCTTAGTAACCTAAATTCTGGTCCCAATTGTGTTCGTTAAGCGAGGACTATTATTAAAAGACACAGAACTTTCCAGAGTCACTCAAAGTAATACTGTGCATAAGTAGTACAGAGAGTCCCAAAGGGAGTGGCCTTTAGTTATTCCAGCTTTAAATCTTTTGTGTATATCGTGGTAGCAGAATAGAGATGAGATGGAGAGTAGAACACCAGGGAATTCCTCCTCTGTTCTACACCATGTAGGAAACAGTTGGTGGATGGGGATGATGTATCCAACCCATCCCCTCCTTTTCCAAACTATAGCACTTTGCTGTTTCACATTAAAGATGTGTGATGTTCCAGCCTCCTTTCCAGGAATTAATTTAGGCACAATACAGGGATGAGATGCAATGCCAGCCTCAAAGAGTTTAAGACCAATGAGATGCCATTCATAAGATAGGTGCCATCACTGTGTCATGAGTCACATGGCTGTCCAGCCCAAGACTGAATCAGAGGGGAAGCATTGCCAGTGGCATCCATAACCAATTATGATGATGAAAAAATGGTGACCTACATTTGGGGAATAGCTTCATGATGTCACGGGCAGGAGGATGTGGCAGCTATTTCTCATACTGATAAAATGAATAGCAATGATCCAAAGAGTGAACAGGTGCAGACTACCCTGTTTTCACAAAAGAGACAGGCCTCCTTCCCTCTGTATCATTAAAGCACAAGGAAACAGATAAGAGTCTTACCACTGTAGATTGCCTATATAAGTTTCTCACTGGAAAGTACGTAGAGGTTACTCATTCGAATTCTTCTGTTGCAAAGTTAGCCTTCCTTTTAATCAGTACTATTAATCAGAATTCTTAGATGCTTGGATGAACTGTTTCCATTCTAGACTGTAAGGTGGGACCATTGTAGGTACCTCTTGGCATGCATGTAGAAAGGGGCGGGGCTTTGATTGTGCAGTTGTGAGTGCCATCTTGACTTTTTTGACCATTCCCCCAAAGGACACCCTGGCTTGAGGTCTTTAGAAAGTGCCATCATGAGATGTCTGTCAATTCTCATCCAACTCCCCTCCAGGAGTGGCCTTAAGGAAAATCTAGAAGGTCTTTTCTGGTCCCACTGAGCAGTGCCCACATTCAGCAGCAAAGATGTGATCTTTCTGCTTTTTAAAAATGTTTTGCTGAAACTGGTGTAAAATTCTTAATTTCTCTGCAAAGCTGTATTGCAACAATTTTGCTTCTTAACCCTAGCCCTAAAAAAGCTTGGGGGACCAGAAAATGTTATTCTCTTGGCCAAATAAGCTCACTGCATTCCCAATTGTGCCCCCCCCCCCGTTCCAGAAACCTAAATTATTAAGAGAGGGTAGGGCCCAAAAGAATTGATGAGAGCATAAACGCAGGTCCCAGCTGAGTCCTTAAGTCCAGCGCTGGGAATATTTCAGTCTTTGGTAGAGTTTATGGCCATCAGGAGAGACAACCAACAGTCTAACGTGGGAAACACCAGTTCCTTGGCTTCCTTTGAATTCTTCTTTCCCACATTTAGGGATGAATCCATCACAATGTCTGTGGCTTTCTCCATCTGTTTGTACCACTCTAATCAGTTTGGTTCTGTATATAGGTACACCTATGGGAAACCTGTGCCTGGCCTGGTGAAAATGAACATCTGCCGTCGTTATGTCCAACATCATTCCCAGTGTTCAGAGGAACAGTTGAGTGTGTGTGAAGAGTACAGTGGAGAGGTACATTCCAGACCCAGGAAGATGTTCTAGATGGGATGAAGAATGTGTGGTTCATCAGAAACTCTTGAGCTCCAATTTCTGCTAGTTTGAGCCAGCATGGACAATGGGGTGGGAAGATGGGAATGTTAGTCCAGCATCCAAAAATGTTGATCATCTTTGCTCTAGAGCAACTAAGGCTACTGTCAGGCCCCAAATCAAGGAAGGAAGCTTCACACAGTCTCACTAATCAGCTTCAATGCCAGGAAAAAGGGGTTAGATGACAGAACCTTTGAAACATAGTTACTCCAGTCTTCTTTTATCAGTGAGAATTTTAAGGCAGCATCTTTGTGAGTTCTTTGATTTTCTTACAGATTTGGTTACAGATGGGCTGATGCCTCACTTAAGAGACCAGGCAGAAATGTCCATCTGCTCCTTGTTTGCCATGTTTTGAAAACTTCCCTCCCCCCCCGCCACATATTCCCATACCCCTATTTTGTGCTTGCATTAATAGCCTTCCCTTGATGCCTCTTTAGTTTCCACACCAGAGTAGTGTGTGGGGGTGTTTGGTGTGGGGGTGGATGTGTAGCTAATTCAAGATAAGCCAAGTCTGGGAAGAAAATCAGGAGTCTGGTAGCACCTTTTCCAACTAATATATTTAAGCTTATGCCTTTTAATAAATTGTGTTAGAAAAGTTGTTACTAGACTCTTGATTTTTTTGCCACCCTAAACTAGCTCTTCTTCTACAATGCCTACAACTTAGGGAAGGTAATTATAATGGTCCCTGCAGAACTCTTGGGGGCGCGCATACCTTCTCCCTGCTCTCTCTCTCCCCCTCTCTCACACACACCCACTCACCCCCACAAACACAACACCCTTGGTGTTCCTTTCCACCCTCCTTCTCAAGATCCTGCTTCTCTGCTCCTGTAAGCAACAGGAAAGAGAATTCTAGTTCTTTTTCTGCCACTGAGGGCTGATGGGGGAATTGGGGCAGAGTCAGATATGAAGGCCAGGTAGCTATTGGGCGGGGATAAATTGAGTGGAATTCCTGAGCAAGGGGTTGGACTAGATGGCCTCAAGGTTCACCTCCAACTTTGGGATTCTCTGAAGCAAAGCAATATTGAGCTGAAGCAGGCACGTGGTACCCAAGAGATCCATCTGGGTTTCATCTGTTGAATATTCTCTTCAGTAATCAGTAAAGCACCTTTTGCTGATTCGATGTCCTTTAGCTGAATTGCTCAGACTGCCTGTGGCTTATGGGCTTTGAATTCCAATGAATGCAGCCAGTTGAGGAAGGCCACAAGTAAGGGAACATGGTCTGTAAAACCACTGGCTTCTCAGCTAACATTCTTCATTTTCCCACGCAGGCAGATGGGCACGGATGTTTCTCCCGGATGGTAAAAACCAAGTTGTTTCATCTGAAGCAAAAGGGTTTCTACATGAAGCTTGAGGCAGAAGGCAAAATCACTGAAGAAGGCACAGGTATCTTTCAGGAAGCAGCAGGGGAAGGGGGCTTGGGCTAGATGTCAGGAGGAACTTCCTGACTGGGTGAGGGGTGAGCTGATGGAATGGGCTGCCACCTGAAACGGTGAGCTTTCCTCCACTGGAGGGCTTCAGACAGAGTATGAATGGTCATCTGTCAGAAATGTTTTAGTGCAGCAGTTCTCAAAGTGTGATCTGGGGACCCCTGGGATCCCCAAAACCCTTTCAGGGGGTCTGAAAGTCAAATAAATACTTTAACATTTCTCAGTTTTAATTTTTAATACAATAAATATCAATAGATATAACCCACCTAAACCAAAACTCTTTGGGGGCCTCAATCATTTTTAAGAATGTGAAGGGATCCTGAGACCAAAATGTTTGAGAATTGCTGCTCTGGTGGAGGTTCTAACTCTATGATGTCTGAACAAGGGGAGCCAACGGATCAGGATCTTTTGATCTATGACAGGGAGTGGGAGACCACTGTACCACTCTCAGACCAGAAGTGATCTAATTTATTTGTAACCCGACCCAGTCCTAGATTTTAGGCAGCTTAGAAGATTGTACAATACAAGGGCAATCATATTATTTCAACTGAACATTATCAATTTCGGTAGCAAAAGAGCAGGCAAAGTATCCACACCCTCATAGAAGTTGCTAGGTAAACACACACACACACACACACCCAGCTCAGAAGAAGACATTAACGTTCATTCCCACAGGTTTTTAACCTCTTAAATATTAATGGGAAGGGTTCATCCTAACCTCTGGGGGGCAGTCCCAAAAGAAGGGGGCCATAATAGAAAAGGCTAGCTTCTGGGTCCCCATTCCACCCACCTTCTGGAAGGGGGGCTCACAGTATATCCCCTTTGCTAATTCATAGTGGGTGGGCAGATTCCACAAGGAGAAGATGGTCTCAAACAGATCACAGAACATATGTGATCTGTTGCTTGAAGCCTCAATTTATTTTCAAATTAAAATCAATTCCCACTTTTCCACCTTCTCTTCAGAAAATGCATAGAAATGAACCACATTGGGTTAACAGATCAGCTGAATTGAACTGAGAATTGAATTGAACATGAGAATGGATTCTAGTACAATTATAACAAACATAAAAGACAATGCATTTCCTTTGCTCCTGCCTGTTCGTCATGGACTCACTGCCCTGACATCACATAAGGAATTAACAGGACAGCGAGTGAGTTCGTACACCATAACCTGCTTGGAGAATGAATCCGTTTTCTGGGTTCTCACAGTCTGTTGACCTATGGATTCACACAACTCACTAAGCCACATGAAACTACAACCACAGGAAACTGCTATGAGTCAGACAAAACTTTCCAGCTTGTAAGCGCATTCAGCACTTTGATAGCATGCTATGAGTGTGTCCCCCTACTCCACAACAGCTTCCATGATAAGCCAGTCACAAAATATCTGTTTCCCAGAAGACCTCCTGGTCAGGCTAAAAGAAATTTGATTCAGCAAAGAACTAAGTCCAAGGCAGTACTGGGGTTGAGCCTGGAGATTTCATTGCTGGCAAGCCACTAAGGAGTCTATATCCGTCTGTCTACCCTCTCTCAGGATTGACTCCCAAGGGTGGCAGTAAATTCCTGGTTTCTAGACACTTAAACCTTAATTCAGGTCTTGGTGGAAGGTTGGTTTCTGGAAAAGAGGTCATGGAGCCAGCACAAGGAGAAACTACCAGAGTTCTTACAACAGTATATGTTAAGCAGGCAAAGGAGGAGAAAGAAATACAAGAACCCCATAAAATTCTTCCTTTGCATCCTGACCTGTTTGGGGATCGCAAGCCTTCTTGGGAAAGTAATTTGCTGAGAGAAACAGATAAGGCTAGAAGAAAAGATTGGAGGCCAAGATGGGAAGCGGACATAGGGCTCATACAGAGGAAAGACTCTACATTGAGAGAATGTAGGCAAGCTATAACCAGAGATGACAATAAGTGGATGAAAAGGCCTATTTTTCTGGAAAAGGAAGGTATTTTAGATAGGTACAGAGGTAATCTCCGCACAGGAGAAAGGTTGATACAAATTATGGTGCCACAGGAGTTTCAGGCACACGAAAGCCCATGGGCAGGACATATGGGTAGAAACAGAATGCTAAAGAGATTGTAGGATAGGTTTTATTGGCCAGGAAGGCCTGGCGCAATGTGGTTCATGGGGTCACGAAGAGTCGGACACGACTTAACGACTGAACAACAAAAAATTACAACAGAGCGAAAGCCCATGGGCAGGACATATGGGTAGAAACAGAATGCTAAAGAGATTGTAGGATAGGTTTTATTGGCCAGGAAGGCCTGGCGCAATGTGGTTCATGGGGTCACGAAGAGTCGGACACGACTTAACGACTGAACAACAAAAAATTACAACAGAGATAGAACAGTTTTGTAGATCATTGTCCAGAGGATCAATACACTAAACCAAAAGTCTAGTGCTTGGCCAGCAGTCTCTCAGACTCAGCTTGGCTAGCTTAGAATCTTTATTGCACAAAAGAGTGAAGCCTCTAACATGGCAGTGGAGTGCCCACATTAAAAAGGGGTGCTGGTCCCAAGTTGATTGACATGGGTGAAGAAGGGGCGGGGCTTCAAATGCATGGCAATTTCCTCCAAACTGCAATGCCCCTGCTGCCTTGGCAGCCTTAGCCCTTCCTGTCTCTTTCAATGCTCCTTCTCTTTGACAGGGATGGAAATGACAGGGGTGAGCACCATCAGCATCACCTCGACAGTAAGCAAGCTGAGCTTTGAAAAAGCAGAGCGTTATTACAAGCCCGGGATCCCCCTTTTCCTGCAGGTAAGGCAGCAAAAGAGATTACTGGTGGGGAAGAGCTGAACACTAATTTTCAACCAGTTGCTCTTTGCCCAAGTCCAAGGAGATGGCATTTTTTACCCACCCCAGCTGCTATCTGTCCTCCCCACCCAACATTCACAGAAGGACCCCTAAATTCTCTAGTCAAAATGGCAGGGATGCAAAAAGGATAGCCTGAAGGTCACGTATAGCCTGCCACAATTCCTTTAGTGGCCTTCCCCGGGCAGTGGGGGAGGTGAGGCCAGTAATTTCAGCCTTTAAAATTTGGGGGGAGATTTGGGGGGGGGGTTAACTTGCTTAAGGTAACTATTCCACCCATGAAAACATGTTAACATCCTCCCCCCACTATGAATCCTGGCCCTGCTCAACTCGGGAGTGGGATCCCTAAGAAGACCACAAAGCTATTACGGCCCTTGAGCAAGGGACATTCATGAGGGAGTCAAAAAAACCAAGATGGTGGCTGTGACCATGCCATCAAAGCCTCTGCCCTTTTTTATGTGTGTCGCATGTGCAACACACATAAAAAACAGGCAAGGTTTGATGGTGTGGTCACAGCCACCATCTTGACTTTTGACCCTCCAGCGATGCCCCTGATGAAAGTTCAAATCTCAAACAATTGGATGTGGGTTGATTTTTTTCACATGTAGATGAAACTGGTGGATGGTAGTGATGTGCCAATTGCCAACGAGACCATTACGATTACAGGACCTTCAGTGAACTATATAGCCAGCTACACAACCAATGAGGAAGGACGAATACAGTTTTCCATAGATACATCTAATTTCATAGAGGCATCCATCAGTTTGCAGGTGAGTGTTTTGGAGTGAAAACAGTCCTCTCTTGTGCCCTTTTCAATCCAAATTCTGCTAAGCACTATCCTGGGGACAGTTCCTAAATATGTCCCCCTATGGTTTTTGCACTCACTCTTGTTATCCTTCCCTTTGTAACGGGGAACAATAGCATTCTTCCAATTGTTTGGCACAGATGCCATTTTCACACACACATTCAATGAATTGCACAAGCACTCCAGAAGTGAACTGCATTTATCCTGGAACATTCTCCTGCTATACCATCTACCCCTGCAGCCTACCATTTTCCAACTTTCTCACAGCATTGAGGACTTCCTTTTTTTTCTCAGACACTCACATTCATAGCATGTGTTTCAGTACTGCTCTTCAACACATAATGATCATTTTGCTGGATGTGTGTTTCAAATGCACTTAACACACCAAGATGTCACTCTTATATACCTTGGGGCTGTGCTGCAGGCTAAAGAAACACATTCACCCCTTCCATTGTGGGAGGGAACAAAGAAAAGTGTCTTTTTGGCCCTACCCTGCATCAATGTCATGATGAAGGCATGTAAAGGAGGGGCTTGCCCTGTTTTCTCACACTTTGCTGTAGACATCCCTGCAACACTACTGACCTGAGTTATCTAGTCTGTCCATAGCTTAGAGCCTACATTATTAGAGAGAGAACTGTCACTGAAGAAGGAGGAAGTGAAAGTATCAAAAGCTTGGGAATATAGCAGGCTTATTATGAAGATATGCCAAGGACGTCTCTCTGATAACGCTTGCTACATAAGTTGTCCTATAGGTCAATACAGGTAGCCCTTACTTAATGACGGTAATTGGGACTGGAATTTCCATCGCTAAGCGATGCGGTTGTAAAGTGCGACATCATGTGACTGCACATTAAGTGACAACAGTTCTGGCAATCCCCGGATACTGTCATTAAGCAAATCACCATGGGTCATTAAGTGAGGACCTCACGTGACTGTGACTTGCAACTTCTGACTTCCCACTGGCTTCCCAATTGATTTTGCTTGTGGAAAGCCGGCAGGGAAGGTCACAAATTGCAATTACGTGACCACAGGACCCTGCGATGGTTGGAAATGCAGACTGGTTGCCAAATACCCAGATTGCAATCACATGTATTTATTTATTATTATATTTGTATGCCACCCATCTCTCCCAATGGCCGCTCCAATGGCCAGAAGGACTGGTTATAAATACCGTTTGTTCAGTGCCGTCATAAGTCCAAACGGTTGCTGAATGAGTGGTCGATAACCGAGGACCACCTGTAGATATAGAAAAGTTGTATGTATGAGGTTGAGTCCTCCGAGGGTTGCATTACCCAAACAGGTTCATTTTCCTTCCTTGCACAATGGTGTGGTTGTTGCTTTACTGGAGGAGAACCGCAGCCTGCCTGCCTCCCAGCTTCTGTCCCACCCATCATGGGGCACACCAGCAAGCTGAGGCAAAGGAACTCAAACGTGGCAATCCTGTATTCAGAATTTTGAAGGGGACCAAGGCATGCCATTGTATTGAGCAGAAACCTGGCTGAATACATAAATATAATTTATTCCTCTGATTGCCTGGCAGGAATTTGTATTCAGCTATTGGCCCAAAAGAGTGAGTACTGATTTACCAGTAGCTGCCCACATGAGCCTCCTTCCTGGCATCTCAGATAGAATTCTACAGATTTGGGGACTATGCTGCAATAGTGCATTCCTGCCGTGGGCAGAGGGTTGGGCTGGATGATCTCCAACGTCCCTTCCAACCCTCCCATTCTAAGTGGGATGTCTAGCTTAGTGTTTTTCAAACTTGGCAACTTTAAGATGTATGGACTTCAACTCCCAGAATTCCCCAGCTGGTCTAGCTGTTCTCTTCTTTCAGTAACTATATTTGGTGAAAGTAAAGTTTTTGCTCTTTAAGCAGGGTGGTTTCTTTTCCTTTCTATAACCAGGGAGTTTATAAAAAAACTGATTGGTGTAATTCAAACTGGGTCACTGCCAATCACCAAAGTGCCTCACACTCAGTGTACCGATTTTACTCACCAAGTCAAAGTTACATCCACATTGAGCCTCTGCCAAAGACATTAAGCTGTGGCCACACGGAGCAGATTCGAGTGCATTTTAGCCTGGATCCAGATGCTGTGAAAAATGAAATTATCTTTTATTATTTGGTGAGTTGAAAAATAATTATTTTCTTTTTCTTTTTTCTTTTTGGAGAGAGGATATACTTTAGGGCTAAATAATGTGAATATAGATTGATGAAGATTCAGTCTTAGATAGAACAATAACAGATCTTAGACTTCATCAATGGCATAAACCACAACTGGGAAACCTTTTGGAAGCTGGAGGTTACACTCATTCATTCATTCATTCATTCATTCATAAATCAAACTTGTATGCTGTCCATCTCACTTATACAAGTGACTCTAGGCGGCTCAGACGCAAAAATCATAAAAAAGTTAAAAACACAAAACATAGTTTATAAGACTACAAATGGAGTTAAAAAATGGAAAGAGCTGTTGAGCAGAGTACAGCAATGCTCCCAGAAAAACTTTGCCCAGGGAAAAAATACACACCAGCATGAGAGGTTTGCAAACTGCAATGTCCATATCTTGTTCTCCAAAGAAACTCAGCCAGAAAATATATACTATCTGGTTGTTTATTGATAAAAATGCAAAACTTCATAAAATACAAGTTGTATACAAAATATAGAAAAAAAACCCAGGGAAAAAATACACACCAGCATGAGAGGTTTGCAAACTGCAATGTCCATATCTTGTTCTCCAAAGAAACTCAGCCAGAAAATATATACTATCTGGTTGTTTATTGATAAAAATGCAAAACTTCATAAAATACAAGTTGTATACAAAATATAGAAAAAAAACACTTCTCATAAATTCAGCATCCAAGACTTATCTACAAACATAAAGTCTCTAGCCAAAAACTCTCAGAGAAGAGGTATACTACTTGGTTATTAGTTACAACTACATAACCCATAAAACTACATAGTGGTTGTTTATTGATAAAAATGGTTATCTGTACAACAATATTATGTCTAGCTTATGTAGCTCATATAAACAAAACAAATTTTTATCAATAAACAACCAGATAGTATATATTTTCTGGCTGAGTTTCTTTGGAGAACAAGATATGGACATTGCAGTTTGCAAACTGTTTTGTTTATATGAGCTACATAAGCTAGACATAATATTGTTGTACAGATAACGGGATTAATTTCTTCCCATGAGAAACTCCTGACAAGAGCATCCTCAGGGCACCCCCAGTATCAGGAGTCCCCATTAGATCCCCAAATTAGTTGGCAGACCAGGTCCTAAGGCTCTTCCAGAAGGCCAAAAGAGTGGGGGCCAATCTCACCTTGGGGTGAGATTATACTGATTTATACCAATTTTAGGAGGCTTTGAGCCCTAGTGAGTAGGATGTTATTATTGGCTTAGGCCCCAGATCTTCAGCTTCTTTCCTTGTGATTTTAGAGTAAATTTCAGAGGGGTTATGCCTTTTTTAAACTAAGTTCAAGGACTTTTTTGGCTCACATTACTATTGCTGTGTTTTTGCTGCTAAATGATTGGAAAATTTGTTGTCCAATTTCAGAGGGTATCAAAAGTATATCGATCAGGGGTGTCCACAGGAAGCGGTCAAAAGAGTCAAGATGGTGGCTACAACCATGCTATCAACCCCCTGACACTTTTTGATCTGCGTTCCAAGAATTTCTCTCTTATTTCCAGGTGATGGCTAAAGGGGACATATTACGAGCAGGGACACACACGCAGCCGATGAAGCAGGGAAAAGGTAATGCTTCCCCCCACTTGCATTCCCTGCCCCCACGCCTGGCAAAAAGCTTCCTAGATGTTCCCCAACGGCTGTGGATGGGGTGTGTCAGTCTACAGAGGCTCCAGTTCTCCCTTGCTGAATGCCAGATACCACTTGCCCATCTGTAAAGTCTCTCTTCCTTTTCCCACTTGCAACTGGGTTCGCTATATCCCATGTCACACTGGCAGGGAAGGGAAGGTGGGCATACACAGCCAGCCCTGCCATTGGGCAGAGGGAAGGGATGGTCTCAAGCAGCGGGAACAAGGGATAGGAACAGGCCATTTCTCCCAAATCTCTGCAGTGGCTTCCTTCATCCTGAGTTTTGGCTGTGCGGCACAGTGATGTCTCTTTGCAACTGGCAGGCTGCCCAGTTGCCTACTACCTATTTCCTCTAAGACAGGCCCTTCTTGGAGACTCAGAGAGGCTCGGGGGCTCAGCCTCTAGTAGCTGCAGCCTGGCATGCGTGTTTGGCTTTGCTTTTGAGGATAATGAATGCACGCAAGGCAGAAGGATGAAGGAGAGGGAGTGGGGTGGAGTTCCCAACTGCCTGGCACACAGAAGGCACCACGTTCAACCCAGAGCCTGACCTGATCAGGGGGCAGAAACCCTGGAGAACCATTGGCAGGCATTACTAGCAGTATTGGCTCATGGGTCTGAGGCAGAAAGTTGGGGGCCCCCGACTTGACCATTGCCACCACAAACCTGATATCTTGCGGGAGAAGGCAAGCCCACACAACTGAGAAGACAGTAGCTGAAGCCCTTCATCTCCTGAGTCTTCAGTGATCCACTTCTGTCTCATTTTCCTCAGCCTGTTGCGTCCCCCTGGAAGAGCCCAATGTATGACAACTGGAACTAATTCCTTCTAACTTCCCCCCTTTTCAATCTCTCTTTCTTTCTCCCTCCACCCGGGAATTTCATGCTTTAGAAGCCAAAGGGGCCTTCCTTTTGAATCTCTCGGTGGATGCCAATACTGCTCCCCTGGCCCGCTTGCTCCTCTACACCATTTTGCCCAGCGGAGAACTTGTTGCTCATTCAAGAGACTTCACCATAGAAAAGTGCTTCTCCAACAAGGTAAGTGGAGAAGTAAAGTGTCTATTTTTAACCAGGTTTTAGAAATAGCATATTGGTCATGTGGTTAATACCAGATGGGTTCCCCTTCTAACCTGAACTGAACCCACAGAAAAGACTGTTAGCATAGATTTCTGAGATCCATCTAAACTAATCTGAACAAAAATCCATACCAAAACCCTATTGCAAGATAGATCTGAGAAATAATGCATGTTTATGAAACGCATAGACAGAAACAGACAACGACATTAAGTGGACACAGTTTAAGAACTTGTCCTAGGATGTATGAAAAGAAGAGTAATTTCAGTTTAACCACAGTTTAGTAGGAAAAATGTGTACATTGGGCAAGTCATGCAGAAGAGAAGCATGAAAGAAGAAATTTGCAAATAAAACAGAGTATATAGTTGAATTGATAATTTTAGGGAAAATTGAAACTCAAAATTGAAAACCAGACAGGGACCAGATAGCTGCCTGTCATTAAACACCCTTCATGACAATCTAGAATACCAACTTAAAATACTGACCTGTACATCTGTAGATTGGACATATTGATCTTCAGCCAGATTCAATCAATCCTGATTCAGCTGAGGACACAGTGCAGTAATCACAAGGGTGATGCATGATTCCAGTGCTGTCTACCATGTGTGAACAACTTGCCTCTTTACTACTCCTTAAAACAGCCCTTCTTTTTTCAAGTGTCCTTGCCCGTATCAAGTTTAATGAGTTGATTTCATCTGAATATAAGGAAAAACAGTGGAACAATCTACCTATGGAGGTTGTGGGTTCTCCATCTCTGAAGATTTTAAAGAAAGGGCTGGACAGCCACCTCTCAAGATGGATGAACTGCAGGCTGCAGAAGGATGAACTATATGATCCTTGTGCTCTCTTCTAAATTTCTGTGAATCTGTGAGTTCGCTCCTTAAAGCAGCCACACATTTTTGCAGGAAAAAAAGGTCTGCTTTAACAAATAGCAGCTGTACTCATGGACTCAGAAGCACTTTTCCCCAATCATTTTTGACACCTGCACATCCTTAATAATAACTCCCTCCATCCTGTTTCCTCTGTGGTGGTGGTAACTGTTGCGGAGGGGGGATTAGGCTACAGAGAGCTATGGCTTGACGATGCTCACAGATTTCTGAAGGGAAAAGGGACCCCAACTTTGTGGAGGTTTTCAGGGTCACCCAAATTTTATTGGTTGACCCAGTCCGCTTGCG